CGTGTCCCAAAGGCCAAGGCTGTCTGATCGTTTCCGACGGACTGGCTCCATCTCCTCCGTAAAACAGGAGCCAAGGCAATATTTCTGCACCTTACGCCACAATTGTGCGAGTGTCCTAGCTTTGCATTAACCATAACATCCAGCATCGCCCATCACCATCGCAGTCCATCTCCCACCATCAGAACGATCGTCTGTTGCTTGTTGTATGTTGTATTTTCGAGATCTTGCTCGCGTTTTTGCCACTAACCACATCTTAGCTTAATGGCTTCGGTTGTGGCTCATTGGTCCCCAAGGGAACTCAAGTTAACCCAATTCCAACGTGATGGGTACGACGCCCTTTTCAGGACCCCAACAGCCGGCCGCCAAAAGATTAAGGCATGTCGTACAAAGAAGAAAATAAAATACAATACCAACGAAACGGGCCAAAAATATACAACATACGATGTACACATCCTTCCTCACCGTGCACCATGTGACTTCCGTCCCGCTGAACCCGAAAAGTAGTGTCCCAGCAGGGACAGGCAACAGGGGCCGGGAGCAGATGTACATATCAATACTCGTATTACGGAGAACTCCGTACCTCCAAGGCAACTTGGGTCTGTTAGTTTCCTGGCCTGTCTACGCAACACTTTCATCTCTTCTTGCACTTTACGATTCCTCCCAGGTCTGTAAAACGCTGGCAGCTATGTCGGATGTTACAGGCGTCGTCGAAACATCTCCTCAAAAGCTCCCTTCAATTGTTCTTTGCTATTTGAAGCTTCTTCTCTCTGCCGGTCAACATATGCCTGTGACCCTTTCCCGGCCACTAAGCTCTTTCAGCTCGTCTCCTTTTGTCACTTTTATGCACCTCCCACGCTCTCTCGCCTCCCGGTCACCAATGGGCTGCCACTTGGACCCCCCTCTCGGTAAGGTTGGCTTTTAGTTTTAATTTCTCCACTCCCCTTGGCAGGACGGTAAACACACTCCCTCTCAAGTTTTGTTTTCTGTTCCCTTGGTTGCTTCGACCTGCTCCCAAATGTTGCTCGTTTCTTTCCCGCCCTGGCTCGCCTTCCGCCTTTTCGGTCCCTCCCAAATCCTCACCCTATCTCTTTTCCTCCCTCTCTTCGACGGTAAAACCACACAAAGTCTAGACCTCTCATGGTCCGGGCTCCAACCACATCCACACCCCCCTCCCCCCTTGACCACCATCAACCACCTGTGAAAGAGTGCGATCACTTCCGTAGAGAACATACTCGTCGATTTCAGTCAGCCGCAAGGTTTGTGCGCCGGTGGCGCGGGATAAGGATTTCAGCCTCTCCTTCAGGTTTTGCTTTGCTGGGACCTACCCATCCTTGCTCGAACCTTCCCTTGTATCGGTTCTCTTCCTGGCTCCTTTCTTTTATTTGTCTATCATGTTTACTCCGTTGCTCGCGTTCAATGATCGGCCCCCCAAACAGCGCCCTACATGTGGACACTGCAACTTTGGATGAACTGCTGCATCGTTCTTTCCTCACTACACTGAATCTGCCAAGCACAACTTCCTTCTTTCCCAACACGGACAGAACTCAGACAGATCCACTAAATACCAATACTTGACCCTCACTTCTCCCCAGACACTCGTTCCTTATCCGGGTCCAAATGTACTCCGTACAAAGTATGGAGTAGCTGAACGTCTGCTTATTGCGTAAAGAAAAAAAGAAAAAAAAAAAAAGAAAAAAAGTAAGCCGCAACGACACTCTCCAAATGTTGATGGTAACGAGGCAGGAGCGGTCTAGCAAAATGCAGGAAACAGCTAATGACAAGCAGCAGACATCCTTCCCTGAAAAGTCAATACTCCCAACGAGGAAAGAACGATCAACATCCTTGCCAAACACGACAAAGAAATCCGTTAGTCGGGAGCACTGGCACTCCTCTCTCACAAGACTTCCTCCGCCTTTCCTTTTTCACCAGTCCAATACCCCTTTTCCTTTCTCCTTTTCTTCTATTCTCTTTCACGACGTTTCTCTAGCTCGCCGCCAAACCGCCACCGACGCCTCTTTGGCCTTGTCCGTCAAACACACCTGTCTGGTCTGCACACCTTACTCCAAAGATGCCTCCTTGTTCAACCCCATTGGTTCTGTGAACGCCTCTCTCCAAACAATGGCATAACGCCTGAGAGCCTCTTCCAGTCTTCAGTCCCTCCTTATTTTCGCTCTTCTCTCGTCTATCTCTTCTCGGCCTCTCCTTGGGTCACCTTGATCGAGCCCCCTGCCAAAGCTTGCCCTCACACCCTCGCCAAAGTTGCAACGGCCTCTACAGCTTTGCCGTCTTCAGCGGACCTTTTGCCGCTTCCTGCACCCACGCACTGACTTCGCCCCCGTACTACACCCCAACATCTAGCTCTCGTTCATCTCCATCTTCGCCAACCGGAGGAACCCACAGCCCACGACAGGCTGGCGACCACGGACTTGCGTGACCGGACTAGCATTCAGCGACACCCGATTCCTGTGGCCAGTCGACAACGGACGTCCTACCTGCGGGCATTTGGGGTGGCTGTTCGTGAAGGTCTTTTAGGCTTGCGGAACCCGATCTCGAATGCAACACGGAGCGCCGCGTATCTCTTCAGATATCGTACCTTTGATTTCCGCAGCTACTCTGTCTTGGCTACATTTCTTTATTTTCGCCTACTGTCTCTACTCGGGGTCCAGAACAACCTCTTCAAGTCAAGGCTGGGCTTGTCAGCACCTTGTTTTATGATATCTCACCGTTGCTAGTCTTGTTTTCAGCCCTCTTCAACCTTGAATAGCAGCGTTCCTAGGTAAGTGAATGTCGTAAACAGCTAGGCGTTGGACCAGTCACCTGTTTTCCTTGAGCTCTCTCCTCTCTCCTCTCTTCTCCTTGTTTCCTCTTTCTCTTCCCCTCTCTGCCAACTAAATTCGTTTACCCTAGTCGAGCCACTCAGCCCATCACATCATAGACTCACTCCCTGCACCCTTGCCGGACCAGCTCTTCTTTTTTGTCCACGCCCCTCTTCACTCCAATACTTCGTTGTTTCTCTTCTGCAGCACCCTCCCCCCCGACTGTCATCTGTCTTTCTTCTCGAACTACCATATCCCCACCAATCCGTTTAAGTTAGTCTGCCTTCACCCTGCTGAGCATGGTCTGCTTTGTACCAAAGGAAGTGAAGCAAAAGGCTGGCCCTCAAAAGTCAAAAGCAGGCAATCGTGGTAGACAGCATTCGTCAACTGCCTCTCCCACCTGTGCCCTGCAAATGTTTCGTGCATGTTCATCCCAGTCCTGCCTGGGCAAAGTGGATGCAATATCGTGGAATAAATGGCTAGAAATATACGCTGCCGCCACTGATTGAAAAGAAAAGTGGCTGAGGAAATGGCAAACAACGAGCATTGAAGACCGCTCGAGTCCCATTCAACACGCCGCAGGGCTCGACTTCCCTTGCGCTACCCTCCTCCACCATTTGTCCCCTTCGTTGAAGAGGAAACGGGGCCTTGACGCAGGGACCAAGTCCACCTCGCCCCCAAAGATCGGCGAACCTCCCCTCCGTCACTCTCTTTTCTGAACTTTGGCATCTGTTCCTGTGTTTGAACAAAATACATTTAGCATCTGGACCCTCTGGGCTGGCCGAACACGAGGGCGCACCGCCTACGGGAGAGAATCCGACCGCCTGTGCTACGCGTCTCCCCTAATCCTTACACTCCACCTCAGCTCTTCTTTCCTTTTTCTTCCTCTCCTCCCCTCCACGACGTGATCTCTTCCAAGCCTGTCTACTTCTTACTCTAGCTCCCTGTCACGACAAATACCGTCCGATCCACCCCTCTCAATACTCCCTTTTACCGTGTATTCTGTTTCCCTCTCTTTATTTTCTCTCATGGTCCCTTGGCCTGGTTTCCACCTTCTTCTCCCTCTCCTCTCTTCTCGCACCAAGGCCAACAATCTCAGTCACTAGCTCTCTATCAATTCGCCTCCTTGAACCCACCCCCGGTCATTTTCCTTGCCGTCGGCTTTGTCTTCGTTTTCCCTGGCAAAGCACGGAACATCCCGAATCACCTGTTCTCCCCTTCCACATCTCCTACAACACACACTGCTCGAAAACGTCTCGTTCTTAACCATTCGTCTCTAATTCTCTCGGACTGAAAGCTTCGCCTCACATCCTTTCGCCAAACCGTTCCAGGCTTAGCTACGCCTCCCTGATTTCTGTACGCGCCTGGCACCAAGAGGGACGAAGGGATCCGGCCTCATACATCGCCACTAACGACGAAACGAGTCCCAACACGCAAAGGCAAGTCACTATACGCATTAATCCGTACTGGGGAAGAGTAGGCGGAAGCACCTACCTGTTTTCACCTTGTACGCCTTTCTTTCCTTCGAGCGTCCTGTGTTTTTGTGGTATCAAGGATCACTCATGTACACAAATGACACGGGGGTTAGCAATACACAAAAGACGTTCGCCGCCGGAGTTTTGTATTTTATCTGTTTTATCAGTCATCTTCTTCCCTAGTTAACCTCCTCTCAATATCTTTTGCCTCGTTTTTTCTGCCTTTACCTGTCCCATCTTCCACTTTCTCATCCCTTTCCTTTCTTCAACTTGTATCTGGTTCTGTTTTCTACTCTCCTTTCTTCCTTGTATTTTTGATTTTGTACGGGGCATCTAGGCCAACCGGTTCCCAAGTCTGGATCCATCTCTTAACATATATCACGGCACCATCCCGACGCAAGAGGCAAATCACCCCCTCTCGAGGACTCAAAACGTTGGAGAAAATACCAAATTCGCAAAAGAGTAAGAATTAGGGAGAGGGCGGACGAATATACACAATTCGGCACTTCATCCTTTGCTCTGCACCACTTGGAGAAGAAAGCACCCCGCTCTCTACCCGGTTCCTCAGTCCCCCAACTGAATTCTCGGTCTTCACGCCAATACACGGGCCATCACGCTTCCCATGATATTCAGCAACAATTTGCTCTTTTCGGATGCAAGAAAGAAATATCAGCCGCAACAAAGGCTCACCAAGTCTCTCCCACGACCAATGGAAGCAACACTGAGCTTCGTGCCTGAACGATCGACTTCGGCCTTGAGGGCTGACCCGCTGTGTGCCTACTCGCTGCCATCGCCAGTTTCGGGCCAGGATACTCCCAGTACGCAAGACATCGCACCCCACACCAGCAATGCTTTAATCCTGCATAAACTGTCGCCTCGTTATCCTGCTCTCTTTTTTGTGTCTTTTTTTTGTTCTTGTTCTGTTTTTGTTTCTCGTTTCTCCTATTGTCTCTATTCACTCTGCCTTTTGCGTCCGTCCAGTCCGTCCTTTGAGCCGTTTTTCAGTGTCTGCAGACTTCTCGTTGCGGCAGACGGGTCCAATATTGTACTTCTATGTTTTGACGGGCCAATATTCTCTTTTTAGCGACTTTGACTCTGCTTCTTTCTATTTCCCTTACCTCCTCCACCATTCCTTTGGAATGTTATCGACCTGTCTTATCCTCAAAGATTTTTTTTTTTCATATGTGCACTCTTCCTAACACTCCTTTCCATTTACAGGATTTGCTGGCGACAGATTTAGCCCTGCAGCGGTTCACCTTGGCGACAACATCAGCAATAGCAGCTCGCAAAGATCATATTCAAGTGACTCAAACTACTTTTCCCAAATCCATCTGCAGCAGGGACAAATCCCCAACGACTCGCAAGTGCCAAAGCACCGCCAATTCAGCCCAAAGGAAGACTCGCCGTGGTCAGGGTCACGGCAACCCTCGACGATAGTGACAGAAGTATCCACCTCGGACGTTTCTGGCACACACCAGCAGCAACAGAAGCAACAGCAGTCTCGGACAGCTTCCTCTTTGGGCCAGAAACACGAAGTTGGGCAGATGAGCGTTTCCCTGAACCATCAGGTCTCTCTCGGCGGCCAGACGTCGTTGGGACACGATTCTCTGATCAACTCGCCAGCCTTTAGCCGCTCTTCTCTTGGACATTCGCTGAACGACGACACCTCCCAAGTACATCATCAGCAACATCACAACTGGAATCCAAGCCGGTCATTGTTCACCACGCCCGCTGAATCGTACGGATCGTCGCGAAATACACCGTCACCCACGTCAAATACGCACAACGTGCACAATTTTGTGCAGCAAAACGTGTCCGTTACAGGTCCGCAGTTTACCTCGACCATGTCGGGCAATTCAGGGGGACTGGGAGGTGACGGACTACGGCGCTCGCCAAATCTACAGCAATATTCTCAGTCTACGGAACAACAACACGACCAGCACTATCAGCAAACACAACGACAAAGCCAGCAATTTTCAACGCCTCAGGGACCCTTAGCATCGCAACCACGAACTATCCACGATAACAGCAACAGTGGCAATAACAATAACGTCAACCGTGACGGCCTAGGCACGAGCGGAAACTCAATGAACTACCGAAGCCAACCTTCGCCTAGTCCGGGGCTTGGTATGAACAGCTTCTCGTCCAAGCTGGGGGGCGGCATCCACCACAGCATGCCCAGCCATTCGTCATTTCAAATGTACAATCCGCAACCCATGCATCACCTTGGCGACCATCACCAACAACAGCATCAGCAGCAGCACCACCACCACCACGGCCTCCCTAGCCCAACGCACACAGGGAACCCCATGCGGCTGATCCCCCCACCACTTCCATCACAGGCCGGAATGTCGGGCTTGGTACCTCCACCCCTTGGAAACAGCGGTGCCGGCCGCGGCTACTCACCATATAGCCACCCAGGGTCAGCACCACCACACTCGCCTGGCCTTGCGGGGCCGATCATGTCCCCGAGTGGTCAGATGACGCTCGTTTCCAATATGGGAATGCCGTATGGTGGCGGAGATGGCAACCCTGGCAATGGTCCGGGCGACGGGTTCATAGGTGGTCGTGGTCGGCCACTCCTCTACAGCCACAACGCCCTGCACGCCCACCACCTAAACCCGCACCAAATTGGCCACCACCACCTTCCAGGCATTCTCGGCGGTAAGGGACTCAATGGACCTGGCGGAGCCGGCGGCGTCCACGACCGGCCTTTCAAATGCGACGTGTGCCCACAGTCGTTCAATCGCAACCACGACCTGAAGCGCCACAAACGGATCCATCTGGCGGTCAAGCCATTCCCGTGCAACTACTGCGATAAGAGCTTCAGCAGGAAAGACGCATTGAAGGTTGGTACCACCATAGAGCACCGCATCTGATTATTACCTTTTCTATTCGTCGACTTCTGTAACCCAAGCTAACCAACTCCCAGCGCCACCGACTAGTCAAGGGTTGCGGCGAGAGGCAGTCGGACAACTCGAGCAACAACGTATCCAACCCAGAAGGGCTCCATCCACCAAACGGCAGCGTTCTGAGCGATACGACTAGTGACGGTGGCCACGACAATCAAGGACTCCTACACTGATGACCTGGGGGAGATATCCAAACTCTGCTTTATGTCTACGATTTCCCAGACATTTTCTAGCGGCTAAATTTCTTGCTTACGGCGTCCGGCTCTCGATTGTAAGCCGATATTTGATTTTATATTTCGTTTTATTTACAGGACTGCTTCTCCTCCGAAGGCTGGGCTTTGCAACTTGGAACATTGGGCTATATAATCTTATGTGTATGGGTCTCCCTTGGTACTTTGTTTTGTTTTATTTTATGTTAATTTTTTTTTTTTTTCTAATTGTTTTTGTTTTTCTGAAACATACTGTACAATGTACATCACCGGATCTAAGGTAAGAAAAGGCAAATGCGAAGAATTGACCGCGACTGCACAGGAAATTCGACTGGTTTTTAGGGTTTAAAATGTATGTTTCGGCTGCATTAAGACACTAGATACTTTGAAAGGAATTTTTGGTAAGGGTAGGGATCTATCATTGAATGACGGATATATTTCAAAAATCAATTCTGTTCAAATTTTTTATCATACTCTTGGTATTCCAGATTTTTTTTTCTTTTTTTTTCAGACTTAAGGCGCCGACGCCGTCAATTTTTTTATGTTTTTCTTGGCGCCGCAATCGAATACTGCAGCATCTACAACACTGCGTGCAATCTAGACCACCTCCTTTTTACAGACAACAGAAAGTAAACAAACGCTCTTGACGGACCCCACATTTTGCATCCGCTTCTTGCGCATGTCGTATTACTCCAACTCCATCACCCACAAACCCATCCATTCGCAAGTACACTCCCTTTCCCGCGCAAAAACACCTAATACAGATAGTGGTTGTACTGGGAATGGGCCTTTTTGCCCAACATGCAATATCGTTAACAGCCAAGTCAGAAGAAAAAAAAACTCAAAGAAACAGGATAGTATCAATGAGAGCCGAAACGGGATTGATGCAAACAAAAAGAAAGACAAATAAAAAAACCCTCTCGTTGATTTGAGAATGTAGACCAAAAAGAAAAAATATATATATATAAATAAGGCAAGGTAGAGCAGACAAGGAGAAACGACACACAATATCTCCCTCTTGAAAGGAGGTGGGACAAGGTGATACTGAAATCATTTAGTCTAAGACAAGGGGAATATGTTTCGAGACCACAGCAACCAGTAAAAAGACGCCGCATTCAGGAAAGGTGCGAGCAGGGAACAGAGGCCTTCGGAAGAGGCTGCCGAAGCCTTCATTTTCAATTCCGATTACACGACACATCAAGCAGTAACTAAGTCGTTGCTCTCAGAAAACCCCCCCAAAAAGTCGAATCAGTGCATGAATAAAAAGCAGACAGCAATGCAATTAGCCTGCCCTTGGTCGCCGAGGGTACAGCATATGCTTCTGGGCGATGCATGCACTACATGCAATCGACTTATTTACATTCACACGTTCCTCTCTAGAAATGGATTTCGTCACTCTTCGGTCTTGCGCTGTCGTAGAACAGCACGCCGTTGTGTCGGCCGTCGTTCAGTGAGAGAAATGTTCCCCAAATGTGCCAAAAAAAATGGATACACAAAAGTCAAAACCAACCGTAGAGACGAAAAAGGCTGGTATTCTGTAACTTAACGTTTGATCGGCTCGATTAGATTAGATGAAAATTAACTCTCTCCCATCCCTCTTACCTCCTCTCCAAGTTCATGCGTCTCCCAGATTAAAATGGCAAAGTAGGAGAAATGCCCAACGACAAAAGAAATTGTGTTTTGAGCGAACGAGCTGGAAACTTCCAAGCTAAAAACAAGAAAACTGAACTCCAAATATTATGACCAAAAGAACATGAACATAGGAAAGAAAAGAGTGAAAGAGCGACGAGACCTGAGGATGCTTGAAAATGCCAAGAATGCCATGGAAATAAAAACGGAAAGAAAGAAGAAAGTCCAATAAAACTCCAACTTCAAGCAAATCAAGACTGAGAAGTAAACGCCGAGATACAAGCACGAGAAAATGTGCAAAATATGAGTGTGGTGTAGGCAGTACAGCCTAAGAATTCAGCGTTTTGACCATCATCTTGGCCTTACGCTTGTCGGGAACAACGAGGTGACGCTCTCGCATAACGCCCTTTATCGTGTCCGCCACTTTGTGGAAGCTGTTGGCGGAGCCCTTTTCCTGTGTCAGGCGAAGAATAGAAAGGTGGTTTCGCTTTCCATGCTCAATCACAGTAATGATCTCGCAGGCAAAAGCCACTTCTCGGATGCCGAGGTCTATAACCTGTCAGTACGAATGCACATCTGAGTCAAGAAAGGAATATGTGCAAAGGAAAAACCCACAGTTGCCAGCGCCAACCTTAGCAAACACGATGTTGCGCTCCTTGTCAACTTCGATATCCCGGATACCATAACGACGCCAGTCCCGTAGGAGCATCACAACTTCCTGGCGTGCACGGCGTTGCGACAGCCCCAGGCACAGATGCCGCGTCGCAGGCTTCACACGGAAAAGGCGTGATAGCCAGTTTTGCTGAGGCTCGATCTTTCGCGCATTAGGCTCGTCGTCGTGGTCGTTCCAGCTATTGCGACCTGACCGGCTGTTGTTCGAATTCTTACTCCGTTGGCTGCCGTTTCCGCTGTTCCTGCTCGTCCTGCTGGTCCGACTGTTCCCACTGTTCATGCGCGACTGATTGGGCCGCTGCAGCGCCCCCTCCATTTCAAATTGACTGTCCCCGTCTGCCACAGACAGCTTCGTGTCGCTCTTGGAGGACGTCTTCCAGAACGGGAAAATAAAGCTCTTCTTCCTAGAGAGAGCGTGCGGGGGTGCTTCAGCTGCCGATACGATTGTTGGTGCTTCGGTGTGGCGCGAAATCTGTGTAACAGGGCGCTCAGACGCCTCTACTGTGTTGTTGCGTATGTCGGTCTTGGACTGGCGCTTGAACCACGATAGTCTCGTGGGAAGTATTGAGCTTCGATCACTTCCCCCGCTCATAGAGCCGTGGTTCGACACAGTGGTTTCTTCCACAATCGTCTCTGTAATTGGTTCAGGCCGGTACTTGATTGTTTTTTCTTGGCGACTCTGCGGTCGTTGCTGTTGGCGTGACGATTGCTGTTCCAAAGACGAGGGTTGCTTCCCATTCTCCATGGAACGTTGATGTGTCTTCTGCTGCGGGTCAGAGACAGGACGCTCTTTAGTAGGCTCAGCACGGCTGACCTGTTTGGGAAGACTGAGAGGTCTCGGTGTTGCGATAGGTGCGTTGGACCGAGTAGTCGTAGGCGAGACTACGAGTCGGATGGTGTTCTCAGCCTGCGCAAGGTGAGCCAGTTCCACGATGTCCTGTGCCTTATGCACTGTGTTCTTCTTCGATGGTGCAGAAGATGCGCGCGGCTTGTCTTTATCTGCCAATGGCCAGTTCTCTTGCTTGGTCTCGTAGATAGACGGCAACGGAACCACGCCTGTCTTTCCAGACTGCGAATAGACGGGCGCCGAGACAATGCGACGGTCATCAGAGCCGTGAGAAAGAGGTGGAACATTCACAATACGCGCCTGTAACTTGGTGTTCGAGGATGTCGCAACACCAATTGCAGCAGAGTCGATGCGTGCTTCTTTCGGCCCGGTGGCCGTCTTCGGTCTCTTTTGGGTTTGACCTTCCTTAGCACGCATAATTTCCCGCTTCACGGATTCGGAATGTGGCGGTGAAGGAGGCAACGGTCTGGAGTGCCATGGCTTGTGCTTGTTCGACTGTGAAGCTTGCGCTGCCGATTCAGGGGGCACGGTCAGCTCAGGACTACTCAGTCGAAGAGAAAACGGTGAGTCCCTACTTTCATCCCTCTCGGAAGAATCGACAACCAAAAGCGAGCTCATGAAAGCATCATCTAGGTCCTTGGCAATCCTGCAGCTGAAATCCGTAAGGTCCTCGTTCCATACCGGCGTAGTGTCCCTGGGTTGCGAAACACCATTGGCGCCGCTCATGAGCGGTTCCGTGTCGGGGTCAGCTTCCTGGGCGGATGGCTTGCGTGCTTTGGAAAAATCCACGCCGCGTTTATGCCTTGATGTAGGGCGAACGCCCTGTTTTCCATTCATGCTGCGCATGCTCCGTGTGCTGCGAATGGAGCTCATTGAACCGCGCGGCGCTTTCAAGTAAGCCGCTGATCCACGGCGTTGTTGAACATAGACCTTTTTCTTCGTTGCCGCTGCACTTGCCTTTGCCTTCATGGCTTCTGCTTGGACCATAGATCGAACCTCGGCCTCGACGTTTGGATTGTTGCGGTGCACGACAATCTTCGCATGACTTGCCCGCGCGTCGCTGGGCTCCATGACAATCGAAGACTTATACGGGTCGTAAGACTTGACGGTTCCAGCTTCGGTACCGGCCTCTGTTTCCGCGACGTTGGAAATGACAGTAAACCGCGACACGCTCCGCTTGTGGCCTGCGGCATTTGACTGAGAGAACTTTCGAGTTGACACCTTCTTCGAGTAAACTTGATTCACATGGTGATAGTCGCTGACGGAGTGTGTGAGTGTCGGGTTGTAATCTTCTTGCTGCCGTTCTCGGTAGCCATGCAGCAGCCAGTAGAACAGTTTTTGGTCGTTGGGCCTATGAAGCATGTCAGCAATAGAATATCAATTTGAGAATGAGGATAAAGGGTGCATCATACTCATTGCTAACAAGTTTGGCAGCCAGGTCATCCTCCCGCAATGTATGCCACATGGAGCGAAGCTGGCGGAAGATCTGCGTGTCAATGCTTGCCAGATCGAGCGGTGTAACTTGCGTGCCTCGGCCGCCCTGGCCTTGACCATCAGTGCCGCTGCTGCCAAGGTCGTCCAAATAGCCATATTTCCATATAAGAGGATGCTGCCACATTTTGTTCATGGAAATGCGGACCTCGGGCTCGATCTGGAGGATACGATGGACAAGGTCTTTTGCATCCGGGCTGAAAGCGCCGGGCATTGTGTAAATGCCCTTCTTAGCTTTGGCCAGCATCAGGCCCATATCATCCTCATCAAATGGCAGTCTGCCGGCGAGCATAACAAAGAGAATCACGCCCATACTCCAAATGTCTGCCTTGTCTCCACGGTAGGGACGGGCCTTGAGAAGCTCCGGAGCAGCGTAATGAGGGCTGCCACATGACGTCTGCAGTTGATATCGTGGTCCTTGGTGCAAAGCAGCCATGCCGAAGTCGGCGATCTTGATTTGACCATCCGCCTTTAAGAGAATGTTTTCTGGCTTCAGGTCGCGGTGGCAGATGTTATATGCGTGACAGTACTGCACGGCACTCATCATCTGCCGGAATACAAAGATAGAAACCTCTTCGGTCATAGCACCATTCTGACTAACGTATGTGAACAGATCGCCATTCTCGACGTATTCGAGAATTAAGTAGCTACAAGTTGTTAGCTTGACGAATCCCTCCTGTTGACAGCAAATTACAACAGAGCCGTAAATGCAGTCCAATTCCACTTACATCTCATTGCGGTTCTCCCAAATGTCGTAGAGCTTCACAATATTAGGATGCTCAATCAGCTTGAGAATAGCCACCTCGCGTTCAATAGCAAGCGGCATACGACGAACGCCGTTAATGTTCTCCGGCAGGTTGCTGTCGAATTGGTCGAGCTGGGCAATGCTGCCAGACTGGGTCATGCGAGCAGTTTTCTTGGCGATGATCTTGACAGCCACAGGCTGGTGCGTTGTGCAATGGCGGGCAGCCCGCACACGCGCGGAAGAACCCTTGCCCAGCGTCTTGCCGAGCTGCCAGGGGCCAATATGGGACTTCTTATTTGGGAATCCGTCGCAAGAAGAGTACTGTGATGCGCGCTTGGAGTCAGCTGTATGCCGCGAGTCCCCGGATGTAGCTGAGTGCCGCTTGCTGGCCTCTGCAAGGTCCAGTGGCGGCGCATCGGTCATGTCGTGGTCAGCGTCTGGCTGGTGACGGCGCTGCCGTTGCTGCTGCTCGTAGGCTTGTTGTTGAGCATGTTGGTAAGCAGCCTGCTGCCGGTACGCTTCTTCGTATTCCTGCTGGTATTCCTGGTAGTACTGGTCAAGCTTCCGCTGCTGTCTATCGACCGATGGCGGGCCGGGGGAGACGGCAGACACGGATGCTGACAGCTTCATGGCCACCGTAGAGTCCGAGTTCCCAATGTATGCGGCGGCAGCATGCTTGCTGGTCGGGGCAGGTTGCGGTGCGTTCGGAGTGTTGGCTCGAGACGTGGCATCGCCAAAGGGCACACGGGTACCTGTCCGGCTGGAGCTCGCGTGCGATGCCATGGCGGCCTCTGTGTCGACACAATTTGGTGAAGAGCTATTGCATGCTTCGAGGAACAGGATTATGGACGACGAGTGGATGAGAGCAAAAGATGAGGCGAAATAAGAACTAGAATAAGAAGAAGAGAACGGAAAAATGCACGTGCAAAAAACAACAACAAAAGTCAACAAAGGCTGATGCTAGATGCAAATTGCCGGATAAAAAGAGCGAGGGCAGGTGAGCTGCAAGGACGAACAACACAAAAGGCAACCGACCGGGTTTTGTTGATTACCCCACGCGGCGTAAGGTAGAAGACTGAGAGTTGTTGAAAAAGAGAGAGAAGGGGAGGATAAGAGGCGAAGAATTGAAGAAAAGTCAATCGCATCAGGAGGGCCGGATGGGAAAGCACGCGTTGGGAAGGGGGTTGTTGCTGCAACACGCGTTTACCGATAGCTCTTTCCAATTCTGTGGCATACAACGGTGGTTGCCCGGGGTGCCAGATGGATCAGAGTTCCGGAATCCAGTTGACAAGGAAAGAGGCACTGGGGCCGCTCTTGCCACATCAAACAGTTCCATGTGCGAGTATCGTATACACGCGGAAGGAGGGGCGGAGCTACGAGGCATGTGGTACTTTGCAAATAGAGCAGGTGCCCTGCGCGAGGAAGGTGCAGTCGGTACATTTTAGCAGCTCAGAATACAAACAGCCTCACTTTAAAAGGGAGTCGTCAAGAATGAAGACAAATAATAAACGGAGCTCGCAAGGGTCTGCTTCGATGCTATAGCGCTGCAGAGCGCAGGAAACGGAATGCGGACATCCAGGTCGAATTTCTGAGAGCGGGGCGGCCAAGTTTAGGCGAAAGCGACCGTCGCGGCGACAATACGTCGTAGGACAACAAATAACAAAACGGACAAGGCTATATCAGGCGAGGATAAATGGGAAGAGTAGGGCATATGGGAAGAGGGAGGTCAAGAGGGTGAGCGCTTATTTCAGACAAGTCGGATGTCTCCCTGCTCAGGGATAGCGGGACAATGGAGCAGTCAGAAAGGGCCTTTGGCACGCCGATTGGCATGCTGCGTCACAGAAGCAATAGCAACGACTGGCATTTGATTAAAATTGGATGGCACGACAGAAAGCTTTTCCTTGGAAATGTATTACAAGACCAAAAAAGCACAGTGCTGGAGCAGAAAAAGAGGGAGAGAGACAAGAACAGCTCTGTCTGTTTGTTTGCACCGAGGCAATCACCGGACTGGTGACTCGTCGTCCCGCCGCCGACGGCGCAGAGTCGAGGGCCGATATAAATCTGGCATTGTCTTTACAAATATGCCGTGCGTGCGCAGAGAGGAAACAGGACAGCCATGCAAGCTGATCTAAGACGACGGAACGGATCGGTGGAATGGACGAGGGGGCAGAGAGTAGAGCGCACTGGCCGGTAAGTATCACTCGGTGCAGCCAAAAGTGTAGCACGGCGTATTCAAAGCAGGTCGAGTGGCACATGTGCGTTTAATGATAAAGTAGTGGTCGGAAAGATCATCGACATGTCAAGTTAATTGTAAGATGTCATTCAGAATGGACTGAGGATGTCAATAAACTGTGACCCAGTGCTATTAACGGGGAAGGTGCAGGCCAGCCTCTCTTAGTTTTAGTGCTCGTGCTCCATAATTAATTATGTAATCATCAGTCTCCGCATCACGGGACGCGTTCAGGCGCGTGCCCCACCAAAAAGTCACTTCACAAGACGTGTCGTGCACTCTTCACGATCGCCACGCTGCGCAACGTCAACGCAGCACCGAACCGCACCCCCGGCAGCCACAGCATGGCGGGGCCTAAAGCATCCAGCTCACGGCCGAGGCGTCCGCTCGACAACGGCAGCACAAACAACGACAACGACCTCTCTCCTAACCCCAATGGCCGACCCGCGAAGCGACTGCGGCCATCTCTCGAGCCCGACGAGGCGAACGGCACCCGCCGTAACGACGATGATGCCAGCGACAGTGACGAGGACGAAACCGCAAACGAGACATACTACTCCACAACCAGCGGTCGCCGGTCAAATGGCGTCGCCACGGCTCCCCGGTCCAAGACCAAACCAACGTTTCAACCCAGCGCCATCGTGCGCGTGACACTCGACAACTTTGTCACATACGAGCACGCCGAGTTCGACCCGGGCCCGAGTCTGAACCTAGTTATCGGGCCCAACGGCACGGGAAAGAGCTCGCTCGTGTGTGCCATTTGCCTGGGCCTCGGTTTCCACTCCAATGTGCTGGGCCGCGCGACGACGTTTGGCGACTTTGTCAAGCACGGCCGCTTGCATGCCGTTGTCGAGATTGAGCTGCAGGCTCGCGAGGACGAGATCGAAAATCACGTTGTGCGCCTGCGCATCAACCGCGAGGACAACAGCCGAAAGTTTTGGCTCAACGGCCAGGAGGCGCCCCTGAAGCGCATACAGTCGCTGATGGCCGAGATGCGCATCCAGGTCGACAACCTGTGCCAGTTCTTGCCCCAGGACCGCGTGGCCGAGTTTGCGGGGCTCAACTCTATTGACCTGCTTGCAAAGACGCTCGAGGCTGCGGCGCCCCTCGACATGAAGGCCATGCAAGCGTCGCTACGCGACATCTACCACGCACAGCGCGACGCCGAGAAACAGATCCAGATTGACAGCGAGCAACTGCGCATTCTCGAAGGCCGGCACCAGACACAACAGGCAGACGTGGAACGGTACCGGGAGCGTGAGGAGATTCAAAAAGCCATTGACGATCTCGAGGATTGCCAACCACTGGTGCACTACTACGAGGCCAAGCGCAGGTACCGCGAGCTGAAAGAGGAGCGGCGTAGAGCCAACCGCGATCTCGCCGCTCTGACGTCCCGTCTGCAGCCGACGCTCGAAGCCATCAGTTCCAAAGAGCGGTACCAGGAGCAGCTCAAGGCTGGGCTCAGTGTACGGACGGCGGTGCTGCAGAGTGCCGAGCAAGCTGTCGGACAAGCCCTCGCCAACATAGAGCGCTATGAAGACGAGATCCAGTCGGCCAACGCCCAGCATTTGGCGATGGGTGAATCCCGCGACAAGAAGAGAAAGGACATTGCAGCCACCCGGCAAAAGATCACGAGCCTCGAGGCCCGGATCAAGAACAAGCCGCCCGAGTTTGTCGCCTCTGAGTGGAATATGAAGATTGTGCGTCGTCGTCCTGTTACGGTTGCTCTTTGCTGTTTTTACTGTTTTTGCTGTTTTTGCTATTTCTGCACATAAACAGCCATTGCTAACATTGTTTGTCCCCTCCAGCGAGACAAAGAGCATCAGAGACGAGAAATTGAGCAAGAACGTGGCGAAATCGCGAGCGAAATGACCCGTGTCAAGGGCGAGGCCTTTCGCTTGCAAACCGAAAAGAAAAAGGTCGAAAACGACATGGCGGCGCTCGACTCGCAGCGTGGCCAGCAGATCAGTTTCCTGCGGCGGATTGCACCCGACGTAGCACGTGGATGGGCGTGGCTTGAAGAGAACAAGGGCCAGTTCAGCAAGGAGATTTTTGGACCGCCGATGGCGACCTGTTCGATCAAGGACCAGAACTACTCCAATCTCATCCAGATGCTGTTTCAAAACGACGACTTCCTTTGCTTCACGACGCAGAGTATTGAAGACCACAAGAAGCTCAGCAACCAGTTCTACGGAGCCATGGGCCTGTCCGTGACGATTCGGACGTGCACCACGCCCTTCAGCTCGTTCCGGTCGCCTTTCAGCCCGGACCAGCTGGCATCGATGGGCTTCGAGGGTACAGCCATTGACTTCATCGAGGGCCCGGAACCGGTGCTAGCCATGCTTTGCGCCGAACGGCGATTGCACCTGTCCCCGGTCAGCACACAACAGCCGCGGCCAGACCAATACGACACAGTGGTGGCCAACGAGAACATCATGACATGGGCCTCCAAAGACCAGGTGTATCGCGTGAACCGGCGCCGCGAGTACGGTGCCCATGCCGTCTCGACAGCAGTGCGGGACGTTCGTCCAGGCCGCTACTGGAAGACTGCGCAAGCAGATGTTTCTGAGAAGACGGACCTGCAACAGAAACTGGACCAGTATGACAACGAGATACGGAATCTTCAGGAAGAGATGCGCGGCCTCAAAGAAAAGATGGCCGGACCACTGCGGATGAGCAATGAGATCGACGCAGAAATAGTGAGTCGAGCCCCCCGGTGTGCAAGGTGCGCCATGCTGGCCCATGTTCATTCCAATCTTAACACAATTTGTCTAGGAACGCCTGCGCGCCGAAAAGAACCAGCTGCAGACCGAGTACAACAAGTGGCTGGCGCTGCCGGAGAAAGTGCTGGCCGAGAACAACACGCTGAACCAGCTGCGCGAAGAGCACGCGGACCTCAGCGCGCAGCGGCAGCAGCTCGTAGCAACGCTCGACGACCTGGTGCAGCAAAAGGCCAAGGCGGTGCTGCGGCACGCCGAGCACGTGGCGCGGCTGCACGAAGCGTACCTGGCGTTTATGGACGTGCAGGTGCGCGAAATCGAGGCGGCGTCGGACGTGGCAGGCCTGCAGGCGCAGAACGCGCACCTGACGGCCCTGCGGGCCGAGAAGCAGCAGGCCCTGGCGGACATTGTGGCGAACCTGGCGGTGCAGCGCGACCTCGGCGAGGCGGCCATCCAGGAGGCACACAACATTGCGCACGAGGGCAGCGAGCGGTCGCTGGCGCTGCACGCGCTGGCGCAGACCAAGACGACCGAGTCGCTGCAGAACGAGGTGGCGGCGGAGCGGGCGAAGCTGGAGCTGACGCGCGCCGTGGACGAGGGCGTGCTGGACGAGTACGAGCAGCGCGCGAGCAGGATTGAGCAGCTGCGGCGCTCGCTGGCGACGACCACGGCCGACTTGGAGGGCATGGCGGCGCAGGTGGCCGACGTGCGCGGGCGGTGGGAGCCGCGGCTGGACGACCTGATTGGGCGAATCAACGACGCGTTCAGCTACAACTTTGAGCAGATCAACTGCGCGGGCGAGATCAGCGTGCACAAGGACGAGGATTTCGACAAGTGGGCGATTGACATCCGGGTCAAGTTCCGCGAGAACGAGGAGCTGCAGAAGCTGGACCAGCACCGGCAGTCGGGCGGCGAGCGTGCGGTGAGCACGATTTTCTACCTGATGTCGCTGCAGGCGATGGCGCAGGCGCCGTTCCGGGTGGTGGACGAGATCAACCAGGGCATGGACCCGCGCAACGAGCGGATGATGCACGAGCGGATGGTGGAGATTGCGTGCCACGAGCACACGAGCCAGTACTTTTTGATCACGCCCAAGCTGCTGCCGAACCTCAAGTACGACGAGAACATGACGGTGCTGTGCATCGCCAGCGGCCCGTTCGTGCCCGATGGCAAGGCCAAACTGGACTTCCGCAAGTGCATGGCGACGCAGCGGCGGTTGCTGGCAGAGGCAGCGGCGTGAAGTGGCGGTATAAGGGTGTGTACCAAAAAAGATATCCATGTATATACGGGCGTGATGACCAGCGAGGTGTACTTATGACGGCTTTTTTGTTTTTACATGTTGTCTTTAATACCGTAAGTTTACTGTTTAGGAAACATGATAGCAAACAACCTTTGAGACGAAAACCCAATTTATAAAATTAATGACAAGTGAAAATGAAAACAAATAATAAAACAAATAATAATAATAATAAAAAGTCAAGGTTCATTCGCACATGTTACCATACTTCTGATCATTAATCGTTGTTTCAACAAGGCTGCAGCCTCGCCCCAAGCGAGTAGAGCAGCACTTGGCCCTTGCAGATTGTGATCTTAGTGACGAACAACACGAGAAGAAAAAGGAACATCAGTTTCCTTGGCAAGCCGAGAATATTACGTGCCACATCTCCTCGTGTTCTATTACAACTCTTCCTTATCTCGACACTTTGGCATACCCCTTAATATTTGTTAATTTAGCCAGACTATAGTTCCCAGCCGTATATACCCACTGAACAAGATGGATCAACAGAGAGGAACGCATAAAAAATAGATAAAAAACAAGCTGCCTTGGTCAGCGCTTTTGGCCGGATAGGAGGAAAGTCGGCTGCAGAAACAAGCAGCATGGGTACATGAGTGCATGAGTGCCAGCCGCCGATCCGTTCTAGAATTAGACGATATCAAGCAGGAAAAGGGATAAATGCCTTCTTGAAATCGGGTTTACAAAGGATGAAAAACAGAAAAACAATCAGAGAAAAAAACAAGCTTTAAAACTCACAGATAGAAATATAAATTGCAAAAGCCAAGCTCCCCAATATATAGCACAGGAAGCCGTCAAGATTCTTGGAACAGAGCAGCATCTGCAGATTGCACTTTCACTTTATGTGCCGTCTCTCTCCTGACCAACGATACAGGGGACGAGTAGAAGCCACGGGTTGGCAGCAGGACAAGGGAAGCTACTTCGGTGTCTAGTTTATTCTGCATGTGGTGTTGCGCTACTTTCTATTATCCACCGCAGACAGGCTGGGATCTCGACCTTCAAACAAAACGGATACAACGGCTTAGTAGCAGAGACGGCTCTTTCAAGGCATCGTCTGTTGGCGCAGCTATTAGCCGAGAAGGGCAAACAAGAGCGAGGCTCATCTCAACCTGTTGGTCCTGCCCTTTACCCTGACCCGTTATTGTCATTTTCAGCGAACAGAATCGTGCGCATTGGCATCATCCTCGCAGCCAGGAGACGCTGGTGATAGGCCATCACGATGCTCTGCCACAGTTTCCAAGCGAAATCCAGACGTGCAGCTACCTCGTCTGTCGTGCCCTGTTGTTGGATGCCACGGATGAGAGTGTTGATGCTTATTTGATAGGGTGTTACAGAATAGTTTGTTTAGGTAAGCTCCAGATTCGATGCAAAGCAAACCACATGGCTAAGAAAGCCTAGCCGTAGCAGCACTGCGACATAGAGTTCTTAAAGTTCGCCTGACGCCATCGACTTTGTTGGATCGTGGTCATGTGACCCAGGATTCATAGTTCAGTCCTGACATTCACTCGTTTTCTCCTTTGACAGGTTTTATCGACGTAAACCTTTCTTCAGCACCTTCTCGATTTTTGACAATCCGTCGCCACGATGCTCATATCAGCATGGTCTTCGGACAAACACCTACACTGGCGACAGGAGCCGCACGCCGCGCTCTTCTCGACACGATATACTCAAGGTTCAGAGGTCTCGAAAAAGGATCCAAAGCATACGTGGAGCTAGCAGAATCGGGCAGAGTATGGGAGGAGTACCACCAGCCAGGCGACTTTGCGAAGATGGGCTACTTGAAGTGCCAAGAGGTATGGAGGCATGGATTTTCTCAAACAGGCGGCTTCTTTTGTAGTCTGTGCGAACTGACATAACTGACATACCGCCCAGGATGCAGTTGAGACCCTCGCCCAGATCGACGACGTCAGGAAATGGATGCGGCGTCCTGCGAGCAAACGGGGTGCCCAGATGGTTCCGGAATATTCCCATCAGTCCGTGATGATCGAGAACAATACCCGCCCCCCTGGTGACAGTATTCTGATGCACGAGGAACTGCATGGACGCTTTTTTAAGCCGGTCAACCTACCCACGCTGTCCATCCACGAACTGGCTAAAGCAACGCCGATTCCGCGGCTGGAATGGCCAAAGTCGATCACGTCCAAGCGAGACGCGTTCGAGGTTGTCGAGCTTCGAAATCATCTCGTAGCCAGTCAGTGGATCGCCGAGACCGCATTGAACCATCAGGGCGAGGACGGACTCAACGAGGACGAGGTGTGCGCTCTCTCGGCCTTGACAATGAGAGACCTCGATGAAAGTGGGCGTGGCCTGTATCCATGGACGTTGGGGCCGCGCATCCGCCTCGGCCAGTACCGCCAGACGCCAATCGGCGTCAAGAGCAACCCGATGGCCGTATTCCCCTACCATCTCGAAGTCCCCGCATGCATGCGGCGCTACTTTGCGTGGCGAAAGCGTATGCACAAGGAGAGGGTCCTCCATCCTCTGATTCTCGCCTGCCACGCGATGGTTTATTTTCTACAAATCCATCCCTTCGTTGACGGCAACGGCCGTGTGTCGAGATTGATGATGCAGGACTATCTGATGCGGCAGGGATATCTGCCTAGCTACATAATGTACCTGGACCGCGACGAGTACTTGAAGATGATCCACCACGCCGCCGATGGCGATCCCTCGCTGCTTATCGACCGCGTCTTGACTTCGCAGATGGAGTTTTTGTATTCTTACATGCTCGACGATCTGTCCAGCGACTCGCCTAGACCAGTCGGTTAGACGGTGAGCCGTTGGCTGCGTTTCTTTTCTTTTGTTTGTTTTGTGTCCACGTCCAATTTGATACCCCGGAGTCACACTCCATTGTTTTATTCCAGCACTGGGAGGATGCATTAGCAAACGGCGTTTGTTTGTGAATGGCCAAAGCGTATAGGCGGGACGCATACTTGTCGGCTGCTCAACGGCAGAGTTAGAATCAAAAGTTTTCATGTCCACGTCAACTGGACTGATTTTGTACATTCGTGGAAGCTGATATTTCATCAGCTTTATGGGGTCTTGTTTTCCGCTTGTTCCAGTTTTAGGCTAACAAGATTTCGTGCCCGAGAAACACCAATCTTTACCGGCACTCATCACCGGGTTCTTAATATCTGGTATCAACATGCTGCTCGGTCGGGTTCAGTTATGTCCGATCCAGTGATGGCCGACTGGCCGAGGCCAAAAAGAACACAGCACGATCCTTACGCGCCGAGACGGGCTACTACGCGATTAAACGGGACTCTTCGTTTTGTAGGTTGGAACATATTCTGTAAATCTACATCCTGTGCTGGCGAGTCCTCAGTATCCGCGCGCCGTGGCACGGTATAAGTCGATACACGGAAGCGGGAGCAACGTATGGAGGACTGGTCATGACATATTGTGTATGACAAAGCTGCCACTGATATGGATCCCTGGACACAAAATACGGACCACTCTGATCTCTACTGGACTTGTTTACTTTGTGACACGACTGGATTTCATCCTCATTTGACGACAAGAGTGCCGAAAATTATGTGCCATTTTGCCGTCTCGTAACTTGGCTCGCTCATACTCACACGGAGCTTGATAGACACTGCGAAATTGAGCAAAACATGGCGCCTGCCGCACAAAGACGGCACTGCCCGGCCCGCGTGGGACGAACAGACACGCCACAGAGTGCGCCCATCCGCATCGTGGGTAGCCAGACTTTATTCGCCGAAATAGCGTGTCGTGCACTTTTCGAGATAGTGCATCGTACATGTTTTGCACCACGCTTGCATGAGTACGTACGTACGTACGTACTCTACATGTGTGTGCCTGTGTGCACGGGTGTGATATCAAGCATTCACATCGGGATATTTTTTGTGTGATTTTGCCGACAGGGTTGCACGCCGTATCTCATTATCGGGCTGTCAATTTCCGTCGTCTATGTCTGGATGACGGCCATGGATTTCTGCTCATCTCTCCGGGGGGATCCATGTTCATTTCGTTGTATCTATGTCGTACAATCAGCCATACCGTGGCCAGACGTTGTTACACCGGAGTCTTTACACCGGACCCAGACGAATCTGCCAGGCGGTTGCGATCCCGCACAGGCCACACAGACCCGTACTTTGTGTTTGGGACTATGTCGTGGTGACCAGCCACAATGCCATTAACAGACGGCACATATTGTCAGGTTTCTGTCAGCAGGCTCAAGCCTGGAAACTGTGCGTCTCGTCCCGCGGCGGGAGAGCAATCGGCCAAAGATCAAAGTTAATTTACAACCAAACAATCAAAAAGACCTGGTAAATCGGTACGGCTGATGTTCTTAGGGGTGCATTTTCAAATGGTAACGACGTAATCGAGCAGGGGTGGTATCAAAGGCCACCTGCCAGTATTTGTTGGTGACATTACGACTTCGCTGTACCTTTGTGCAGGAGCCTGCCCTGGCCACTGTGGGATTTTGAACATTGTAGTTTCTCCGTATGTCGTACGTGCGGGTGGATTGTCGATTACAAAACACATCCTGACGTAAAGAGATGGAGTGAGATGGATGATCCTTGTCGAGCACAACCTCAGTGACACCTTCCATGGACGTCGACGAAAAGTCGAAAGGACGCAAAGGAAACCATGTCGTTAAAATGCGCAGAAAAAGTCGCGAGGCAGGACACGCCCCAACACAGAATGCAAAGGCCAGACCTGCCGTTCGTTTTGCGCCTCCCCTGGGCATCGTAGCATTGGAGGGAAATTAGTGGCCTCCCTCTCGTGGACCGCAAAAGATGGCGAGGCCGGGCCAGGCCAGTAAAGCGGCCTCTGGCAGGATCAGGATGCCCGCTGTGGCGTGTGGTCTATCAACCTCAATATGATCACCTTTGCATTCGACAGGGGGGCCAATACACCGAATTTGCGGGGCCGTTTAGTCCAATGTACGGAGTCTTGCAGCGTGTGTTGTCACAGAACCAAAAAGAGATGGCATATCAAACTATGATACGACACACGATGCACTTCAATGGAAAGCGAGGACAAACTACGGTGTAATACGTTCTTGATGATTCCGCGTGACCGCCATCGTTTAATTCCTCCCCCACACTACTTGACTGCCGACTAGGGGGTGCACCGACTGACCGCCACATCAAAAAAGGGGCACAAACTTTATTTTCTCGCCTGTTGCTGTGTGCTTCTCTGTCAACAGCGTTGGGCAGAAAAAGGGTGTTTGGGTTGTTGGGCTTGTCCGGGCGGACAAAAAGGACACCGCCGAGATGGCATGCTGTGGGGGAGCTGAGGAAAAAACGGACAAAGGCGTTTCTCGGAATGAGAAACGAGATGAGAAAATAAGAATACGACGTAAAGAGGAGAGGGAAAAGAAAAGTGCAATACATCGCTTTGACACTGCGGTCCTATTAAGAGCTTGCATGGCGCATGCTTTCCTGGTGAAAATGTCGACGTCGGGCAAACGAGGCGAGAAAGGCAACATATGGAGTTTATCAAAATGTCAGCAAAGTGGGTAGTTGTGTGCTGTCGTGTGCCGTGCCGGCTGCATAAGGCAAAGGATGTTGTCCCCGAATGACGATCCCCCAATGGCAGCGCATTCGTAGACGGTCTGAAATAGCGTTGACGATATCAACAGCGACTTAAAAGGGCCGACACAAGACGTTGTTTGGTCGGAAAGTAAATCCTTGCCTCTTGCGCTCGGTTGGCTTTTTGTGATTTTCGTCGCAATTTATTTCATCTCAACTGCTCTTTGTATCAACCCGACTGCTACAGCCGTGATAAAGACTCGCGGATTTTGCAAATTCGTCAGTCCATTGAAAATACGGAGACAAGCTGCCAAACCAACCCTGATGGATGCCTTTGTGTTCTGTGAGTTAAAGACGGAGAAATTTCCGTTGGGCACGGCGCCTGGACTGTACCATCGTGCCGATCTGGCCCGGCCAGGGGCCAGGGAAGCGCCGTCGTGCATCTCGTTTCGTAGGGCTACGAAAATACGGGCTGTGACGAGACTGGAGCAGGACGATGATGTACGACGTGTGGCGGGTTACATCAAATTTAGTATTTGGGGTAGTTCCGTCGATTTGTCGCATCTTACTTTCTACTAGCATTGTCTCCAACACGGGCCTCCGTGTGTTTGCAGTCGACTTTCTCTTGGTGTCTCAGATGCATTCCTTGGGGGCGGAGTGTGCATCAACTTTTGTTCCACTGCATAGCTGTCTTTGTGGGCAGCCTGGAGCTTCAGTAGCCAGGGCTCTCGCGCCATTTAACTGAGACGAGTGTGTGTGTCGGATCATTTTTACTCTTATTGTTTAAATTCTGTTTTTACGTTTGCTTCTCGGGCCTTGAAAGTGCGGTGTTTTGTTGTGGACGGGTTATTGTTTTTGGGTTTTTTTTTCTTGCCGTGAACTTACATATGGTGACAGCACAAACATTTCTATTTTTCTGTTGAGACAAGTAAATAATCTCAAAAATAAAACAACAAATCTCAACGTCCCTATCCACGTTCTCAACACCATCATTGTATTTGTTTACTCAGTCGACCCTGACACACAGCAGCCCCTCCTGTGCAACAGTAAGACCCCTGCAGGAGACAAAGAAAGCCCGCAGCAGCTGCCGAGTACCTGGACATCGGACGGGGCTTGATCAGCAATGTTTTTGTCTTCAGACCCGGCTCTAGCTCCTCCCGACCTTGCTATTTGTGAATGTACTCCGATTTTTGTCTCAAGCTTGGCGCCAAAAGAACAAAGGCAAGGAGATTGGACGCAAAAACTGCACAAGGAGATTAGGAGGTGAGGTCCCCAACCCAGACCGGTATCCTCAGTAATTGCTCGGCATTATTCCGTACAGAGTTTTTATACTGTCCACAAAACCATCTTCGACGATGTACGATCGCAGCCCACACCTCCATCGACACTACGGCGGGATTCAGGAGGGTACACTAGTTTGGTGCGTGGCGTTGGTGTCCACAACTTGCAAGACTCGAATACGGCAAAATACATCGGGGACCAGAAAGGAGCCTGGTGAGGCAAAAGCTGTCCGGCGAGCCCAACACGTCTTCTTTATGAGTACTCCGTTGTTGCTGGTAAACATGTCTCAGTTCTGAAGATAAGAGCACGGAGCATTTCGGCGGATTGGATAAGTTTGGGATTGCGCGACCACTGCGAATGCAGTTGAAAGATTGTATGTCGTAATGTGTCGTTGCATTCTTGAATCCATGCCTGCCGGTTCCATGCTGTCTTCTTCCACACTTTGTCGAAGCGCGTTTGGCACTCTGGCACAGGGGCTCATCGAGTGCCATCAAAGGGCGGCCCCCGTTCAAAGTCACCGAACGTGGGCCACAGTGTGCATGGAAAGGAGACCAAAAGTGAGAAAGAATGAGAGAACCAGCACCGCTGAGAAGTTCTAGCTGCTTATTCTCTCCGCGCTCTCACCAAGCAGTTCTTGTCCCAACCATGGCACCGTTTCTAGCACTAGCAATGCACACAGGTTATTTTTGGACAGAGTTGCCGACGTTTTACGCCGTAGCTTGGTCTGTTGTCCTTTCATCCTTCCGTGCTTCATTACTACCATGTACGGAGTGTTTAATTAGTTTGTAGGAGTACAATCGAAGCACGCTATTTGTGAGCTGGTCGTTCTGTTATTTTTTCTCTTGTTTTTCTCTTGTTTTTTTTTTTTTTTTTTTTTTTTTTTTTTGCTGCCACCTCCTGCCCGTTCCCGGCACTGCCGGGGCGTTCGAAGGCGAAAAAAGGAGAATATCCATTGGAAAAAAGGTCGGGTCCTGAGCGCAACCCCAT